ATGCAAATAGCAAATTTTTGTTTGTACACAATAATCGTTTTGCAGCTGTCTAGATGTGTTTGTACAGGTATACACATCACATGTACTCCTTATTAAACATGTTACTCTGTGTGTATGACCTTGCCACCACAATGGTCAGTCAATAATACATAGATTAACAAATAAGAAAAAAAAAACGCATTCAAATGCAGCTTTAAATTATAACATGAAAATCACACATACTTTTTTTTGCACATTATACATAATTATGTAAATTTAGCACAACAGACAAGGTATTTTATTGATATCGTTTATTGATGTTTATTTTTTAACTTTTTTTTTGAATTTTTAGACTGGAAATAATGGAATCTATGGCCTTACACCAGGAGACTGCATATGAACGACTATACAGGTGGACGCAAGGTAAATGACTTCTATATTTATCATCAGATGTCTTCTCTGCTGGCTGCCATCAGACAATCTGGTTTTTCAGAATTTTTTTTTATTTTTTTATATTCAGAATATTGAAGGAATATATTACAGGGGGAATGTCTATCTTATCTTATGTGCCTACGATTGTGATTGTGTTTCTAAAGTTGATATGACTCACAGAACGTACAGAGATTGTCACCCTATAGAAATTTGTGATTTGGTAAAATGTTATTCAAATCTTTTATAAACTTACTTCTAAAGTAAGTGAAAATAAAAACAAAAGAAATCTTCTTTTCCCAGCAGTCAACAGTTGACCCAACTTGATTATTTTATTAAGATTTAGAGAAGTGGTTCAATTAATAAAAGTAGAAGGAGAAACTCTAATTCAATTTATTAATTTCAGATTTCAGGTCAATTACCTACTTCTGATGAGCTCTTAGACCTAGACTAGTATCATGTTAGTTAACCCAATAAATTCCTTTTCAGGTGAATGTCGTTTACTGAGTAGCGACTCTGTAGAGGTATCACCACTGCTGTGTCAAGCAGTGCAAGCACTGCAGGACAGACCTGTATTGTTTAGGTAAGTTAGTTTACCCTCAGGGCTATAACCTTGTAACTGACCAATAATATTTCTTGAGAATTTGTTTTCTTTTAAAGTTGTGGGAGGTATGACAATTGTTATATTTCTCATTCCATATTAGGTATTCTTTAGATGAATTTGGTACAGCTAGAAGAACAGCTGTGGTTAGAGGATTTATTGATGCCCTTACTCGTGGAGGTGAGTCTAGATATAGATTACACATTACAGTTTACACACCAAATTAAACTACAATATCATTACTGTGTTGCTTATCATCACTTCACGACCTTTATATTTTCCTATACATACCAATTCGAAAAAAATCTGGTGTAGGCACAGGCTGTGATCACTTTTAATTTACACTCACTGATGTACATTGCCACAAACTACCTCTGATCAACTACCTGTATAACTCATGCTGAGGGAGCATGCATTCTTCTGAAGGTATCCATCCACCAATAATGAGTATAAAGTATGTCTAACTACAGAGCGTGGTCTGTATTATAAATTCTGATTGCGTGATGAACTTTAAAGACCTGAATATGATTTACGTACTATATATGTTTTGTTCAGATGATGTTAGAAGCAATGTATGTGACCGTAAATTAAAAAAGGTCAGCCCATCTACTTTAATCTGATTTTAATCAGATTAGATACCAGCGATTTGAGTACTTATTCAGACATTTTGCTGACAACAGCACTTTCAAAAATGTTTGAGGTTTTATGTTTATCACTGTGTTAATTATCATATACTTATACATACATGTGTGTGTGTGCACTACAGGTCCTGGGGGAACTCCACGTCCCATAGAGCTCCATTCCCATGATCCATTGCGATATGTTGGCGATATGCTGGCATGGTTACATCAGGCTTCGGCCTCAGAAAAAGAACATTTGCAAGGTTTAGTTAAACTAGCCACACAGCAAGGTCAGTATGTTCTCATTTTGCTGCTGTTCTTTTGTATCAGAAAAATATGAGAACTTGTCTTTATAGTGATACAAAAAGTTGGATCATAGAAATTAAATTAGGTAATTTGTCAGATGGAAACCCTGCATAATCTGGAACTGGATGTCGATTCAACATAACATAATAAATACAAAGTTTGTAACTAATTGATTCCTGTCTATTTCAGCTGGGGCACTGCAGATATATGAAATTTTAGGTCACATCACGGAAGGTGTTTGCAGACCATTTAAGGTGATAGAATGTACATTTCATTATATCAGCTCAGTCATCGCATGCATACAACTCGTGCAACACATTGTAACTTGTAACATTTAAACGTGTTTTAAGTGTTGACTGTTTTGGTTTACATTTCTTGAATGTGGTTATTTTAATTTCAATTTAACTATTGTGTTATTGCAGGTGAGAGTGGAGCAGGTATTGGTTTCAGAACCAGGTCCTGTTATTTTGTATAAATTAGCCAATCTCTTGAAGTTCTATCATCACACAATAGGGTAAGTCATCATGTTTCTGTTGCATAATTAATTACTTAATTTGCATAATTATTTGTAAGTGATTCCATGATTCCTATAGAGTATGCAGTAATAGTTGTTAGGTGTTCATATCCATACATCTAGTGGGAATGTACATGTATTTCTAACTATCTTTCACTGATTGGAGAAATGTTATGATGACGACAACTGAAACCTTTTGGTATGGCCAACTGGTGGCCATTCCATTTGAAGAAAAATAATGCTATTCATGTATTGAGTGTTTTTTTGACACTTTAGGTTTACAATAAACCAACGTTAAATATAATATCAACAAACCATCTTCCCTTGCCATCTTGTTGAAGCTTTCTGTTAAAAAATAACACAATCTGTTTTTCTTATTACCTACTTTTTAAATATGTGTTTGATAGTGGGATTACACATACATTGTAATAGTCATAGTTTGTTTTATTTATTTCAGACAACTACTTGGGTCAGATGCTGTGTTGTTGACTACTTTAGCTGAAGTTCATGAATTAAGTCAAAGAATGTTCTATGCTGCTCTTAATGCTCATGCACAAAGGCTTATGGAAAAGGTAAGTACCTTATAACTGTCATTATGTTTATACCGTACTCATGTGACTTAGCGACCATGCCAAACTAAGTGCCCCCCCCCACTTGTGGGGGATTTCTATTTTTAGGGTCTATTTTGACCAAGCACCCACCCCTTTCAACACACATTAACTTGAATATATACTAAAGTCAAATTATCCCTGAACCCCTGGCCAATATTCATTCAATTATAGATGTACATGTATAAGGAATTTTAAAGCATTTCATTCAGTTTTAAGTGTATTCACTTTAGTGTTTTGTCACTTTTCAAAAGTCAACCATAGAGCATACTTTTCCAAGAGAATTTTTGCCATCACAAACGTTCCTGCATGAGGAAAAAGCAAATAAGATGCAGCATATTTTTAGTGGATCAGTGGCTTATTTAAAATGAATTGATAGATGGTAGTGTGTTGAAACAGTTTGATTTGATGTCAGGTTAATATGTGTCATCTCACGATTCCTTTTACAGGTAGAGTTACCTCCAGCGGATCTTGGCGCGACTCAGTCCTTGAATCAATCTTTGGCATTATTAAGGGAAGTTCTTGCATCGCATGATTCATCAGTAGTACCGCTTGATGCCCGACAGGAAGACTTTGCCAAGGTATTCATGAAGCATTGTAGTTGTATTGTTCTGAATAAGAACAATAATAATAGCAAAACTTTCAATTTAGTTTCAAGTTTAGTTATGCTGATGTTGGCGAAAGATGTGAAAAAGAATAAATATAAAATTTAGTAAATATAAATTTACTAAAGATGTCATTATGTCATGAAATCTCTGCAAATGATTTAGTCTTGAGTTGATATGTGGTATTGAATATTCATGATATGCATAATTTATGCAAATGAAGGTTGATTGCTTGTTGTGTCAGTTGATAATAACAATATTTGACTCCTCTTCGTATAGGTGTTGTCTTGTGTATTAGATCCACTGTTACAAATGTGTGCAGTGTCTGCCAGTAAACTGAATCCAGCTGATATGGGTGTTTATATGGTGAATTGTATTTATGCAATGCAGTCCACCTTGGCCCTATATGAATTCACTGATCAAAGACTGGAAATGCTAGCTGGACAGGTAAGTGCAGCTCAACGTAGAGTAGTGTATATTCTGGAAAGAGATCATTAAATAATGTACATGAATCCACAGCTGCCTGAAACATATACTGACTGGAAACATATCCAAACCAAACCTTTTTGTACTGGAAATACATTTTTCCAATCTTTCTCGTAAAACTGTGTGCATTTTGTCAGTTTTTTTAGTCTGTGGTTTAGTTGGGTGTCTCAGAATCTTCTGTCACTAGGCAAATCAGTTTTGAATATTTATGTCACAGTAATTTGCACTCTTGGATTTGGTGTACCATTTAACACAATGTTGGACTAGTGAAATAACTGAAAATAGATGCAGTACTGTACCCATACATTCAATACTAATATACAATAAAACCTAACTTTCTCCAGTCACCACTCTATAGAAAACAGTTGCATCATTTTCTTTGTTGTTCAATTTACTCTGTAGTACATTGTATGTTTGTATAACTAGTGTAAGCAAAGAGCAACATTTGCACTAAGTTGGTTGTTAGATGCTGACCATTATTCATTCTATCAATAGATTGAAGCTCACCTTGATACTATAGTTAGTGAACAGGCTTCCTATGTTTTATCACGAACTGGGTTATCACACATCTACAGTATTATACAACAACATCAGTTGAAAGAGGTAACATTGATTTTTATAAGGAGATATGTTTTAATTTATTCACTCAGTGAAAAAATGACGAGAAACTGCCGAATCAAACGCGTGTTCTAAGTGGGATTCAAACTCGTACATGTGACAATGAAGTCTCATACTATCGGCTGGGTCATTTGACATTACTAAAAAAGGTGTTTGTGTCTAATTGGTTACAAATTAACAGACATAATTTGAATTCTATTTGTAGGGTCCTTTAGCGTCAATACATGGTATGGATGCCACTACAGTCAGATCTGCCATGGTAAGTTAATTACCACTGCATTATTTTACATTACATCACAAGTACATTATTTATATCCAATAAAGTTGGAAATTTGCGTAATTATTGGACTCTGTGTCCTTATTTGCATAGCTATTTGATGCCGATACTAGAAATTATTGTATTCTAAAACTCCATAGCTTATAGTAGTACATCTATAATTAAACATTTTTTTCTTTAACTTTCATTTTTCATTTAACAGAGCAAATTTGACTCGTATCTATCATCACCAGATAGTTTAACAATGCCACAGTTGAATTTCCTACAGAGCACTTCATTAAGGTATGTGTTTTATTTTCGGTTGCCAGGCTACCATAATATTGATATCATATGTCAAAAGGGTTGCTATATTTGTGGCCACCATAAACACATGTATTTTGTTTATGGGGATGGTTGATGTAGGCATCTAAATTGCCTTTCAATGCTAGTTGAAGTTGTACAAATAACATACATTACTACAATGAGATATTACAAGAATGCAACACAGTCAGTATTGTGTAACTGTGTAATGGAAGTCAAAGTATTTCCTGATTGCATACTTTGTAATTTTCTCATGAGCCCCATAGAAATAGAAATATAATTACTGTATGTGTTAGCATCTGCAAGCCTCCAAATAAAGGAGGCGTCCATCTTGTATTCAAATGCCTCTGCATGTATATTGCATAAACATGTGGTTTTCATACACGTTACTGATGCCATAAATGCATAAGGAAACAAGTACATTTACCTATTGTCAGTAGTGCTTGTCTTAGTTTATATAAAAACCTGTATGAACGCATTATATTGTTCTCACTATGAGGTGTATATCACATTCTACTGGGTATATATTATTTACTTCACAGTGCAACATAATTTGCATATGACTGGCATATGTTTGAAACCATGATGCCAATTCACATTTCAGAAGGTCATGCCATTTTAAGGCACAATATAAAAGTATAATATTAAAATTTGTGTTATTTCACTACTTTTTTTTCAAACAGGAGAACTGTACATAAAAGGTCCACAGAGCTTGTATCAGCTGCTTATGACTTCCTGTATCAAGCCATCACCAATCCTAGCAACGGTTACAAAGAACCAAGATCCATTGTTATTAGAACTCCACAACAAGTGAAAACGTTACTATCATAATTTAACACTGTAGATATTCATTTGAAGCGCTAAATTATATATAAATTTAATGTTTAACAATGTTGCTAAGGATGTACTTCGACCTAGCATTTATTGTATTCATACAATATACCAATATTTATTGCCATTTTGATAATTCCTGCAACAAGTATTGGGTACATGGACATTTTCCAGTAAATATTTGTGGACGATTGTAGCATATGGGATTCAAAGTTTTGATTTGTCTGTGGTTATATTAATCATTCATTGGTCAGCTTACACACTTCATGGATTGCACATACATTTTGTTGGGGGGTGATCAGCTGCATGAATGCTTTAGATGGCTTTGTTTGAATGGTCAGTGATCAGCAGTTTACATGCTTCATACTTTTTAGGCAAACATGTTTGTGTTAACTGCAGATAATTTGACAATTCCGCATGATAAGTTAAAATATTTGGCTACATCATCAGTATTTTGAGCTTTAGCATCACTGTCAAGCAGTCATGCACATTTTGCAACATTGTTCTTTACCATATTCTCTGCAAATTTCGATCAAGATAGTTAATGAAAACTTTAAATGCAGTTTCCACTAACTGCAATATCAGCTGCCTGTATTAAACTTCTTGTGGACGAAATATGGTATACATACATTTGACTGGTACATGCATGAGACAACTTTCAATGTATTTAATTTACAATTTAAGAAAGAAAAACTAAAAATATATGAGATGGGCATATGTAACAGAAGTTTATGTTAACGTATATGTGCTGTGCTACATAATAATGTTCTTATGTGAAACATTACGTTTCTCCTTCCCAAAAACTGTTGACTACTAATCTAGTTTCAGATAAATCATATTTTGTTTTATTATGTATGAAGTTCTTGCATCTGAGCTTTATCAGATCACAAACTGCATGTTGGAAACATTTTCTGCATATGTTTTCAGTAATCTGATTAAAATTTATTTTGTGGGCGAGTTGACTTTCATTTTGATGTACATATCTGGGAATATCTTACATGGAATTAAAAATGAATTATTAAACAAACTGATGAAGAGTTATTGCATAATTGTGGGTATTCTACTTTAAAGACTGGGACTAATGGTCATGTTTACATGAATTGGGACAGACTTGTATTCTTAAAACTACACAGGCAGTACGAGTTTGCATATGGACACATGTTTAGTAAGTTAAGTCACGATCAAATTCAAGATGACCAATCGACTGATGTTTTGACTTCTTTCTCTAGCGTTATATGTATAAGCATTGACAAATTTTGTTCAAATTGGCTTATTCTAACGCCCAGTTTTTGGCTTACATCTCAAACCTGTGTTGACCAATTTTCTTGACATTTTTGGCTCACAACTCGAAAATCACGGTGAGTTGGAGTAACTTAAGTGAAAATATTTTTTGTTTCCACCTATCCCTTACTGCGAAGCTCTAGTTTATTTGATGTTTACGTTATAGATTTACAACTCTTGACTTGATGCAAATTTTAATCCTTGATTACACATCGTGAATGACCCCTAATGAATAAGCTAAGTATGCAGAGTGATTAGACACACCATAATAAACTGATTACACTTCTGATAAACAAAAATAATAAGGTTTTAGATATTTAGAATAAATTTAGAATATAAGACACTATACGCTCATTTAGCTGATTCGTTTTTAGTTGTTGTGAACTTTGATCAGTTTTAAATGACATAAGCAAAATCAATCTGGGTGTTTGCTTTTTGATTAAAGCGGGGTAGTCATCACCTGCGCATGTGTCAGATGGCCATAGCGTGTCATTGATTACAAACAAGCGTCTACCCCTGAGCCTTTGCGTTTTAGCGTGTGTTGTTATCGTCGCTTTTGACTCAATTACCGCGCGTGCGCAGGTGACGACCCTCCCGCTTTAAGGGCTTGCTTTATATAAAGTGCGCTTGATTCCATGTCATGTGTTCATTATATTTTGTTACATCCGTATCATCCAAACCACAAGGTACTGATGTTAGAGTGGAGCTGAATATACATTTGTCAATTCAGTGCAATATGTGCGACTCCCATATGTACATGAGAAATATCGAGGCGTAGACGAGGTGATATAAATTTTATTTATTTGTTAAAGTTGTATAAGACATAATTTAAACTATACGAGTACATATTCTTCCACACAATAATTGACATTAATTATCAGCATTTTGTTCAGTTGATTTAGTAAGTGTGTATTGGCAGCTTGTCACCAACAATTTCCAGAAACGCATTTGTTAGGATAACTTTAACACGCTGGTATTTTCTCTATTAAAATAAAAATTCATAAACCGAGGTAGCTAAATTGTTTAATCATTTGGATATCTTGGACACAAAATTAAAATTGTAAAGTAAAGTTGATACAAGATTTATCATTAATTATGCGCAGTCAGCATTCTTTATTTAGTTGCCGTCCTTCCATTCACCAATAAAACCACATGGATTCTCGTAAAACTCTTGAACTTTGTCCGCAATCAATAACAAGTTTTCGGGTTCTTTCAGTTTGCTGTTCTCTTTATTCCGAAAAAGATTGATACTTGGAATGAAGTAATGCGGGCAATTCTGTCCACGGAGGCATTTCAACAGACTTCCAACCAATCCAACGAAACGTTGTCCAAGCATATCACGTGACCAGTCATGGCTGTTTGGATATTTCTCACACTCCCACAAAAGCAAATTCTGAAACAGAAATGATATTCAAAGTATTAGTGTAGAATCAAATGGACTACAGGGAATTAAAAATATGTTCATCCACTGAAAGTACAAAATTAACTTATGTCAAAGTAGACCATCGACGAGATCACATGCAATCACACGCGAATATGCTAATAATATTCAAGTTACCATTGCACTAGTATATACAGGCATGTTTAGTTAATTCACCTTTAAATGGTAGGATGACAGTGCTGGTGATTGCCAGTGGTCTTCACGAATTTTCTTCAGTAAACGTAAACACTGTTTACGACACCCTTCATCGCTGTCAATTCCGTCCAGCAAGGCTATTTCACATCGGCTGAATGACGTAAGCCTGTCGGAATACAGAAATATAGGCGTTTAACTAAAACAAGTGAGTATGCTGTTAAAACTACCCAACCTGCGCACGCGTGGGAATTGAGTAACGACACCCCGCTTCAAACTACCTAAAAGATGTAATTCTTATGTCTATTTCCCTACGTAGTTATATGTCATAAAAATGTAGAGCTAAACTCACCAATACAAATTGTCTTTGGCTACAGAGTCTGTGCCAATCTTCCGTACTTCTTCAACTTTGTGCTTTGGCGGCCAGACAGGCGAACGAGGCCAGCTATTGAGAACATTTGGCGGAAGACCACGCCCATTGGCAGGAACTAATGGCACGAGATCTACAGATATCCTCTCTTCGCCGGATGACACCATCAATGTTATGGCTGGACCATGAGTTTTTTTCAACACTCGGACTGACTCTGTTAATAGAAAATACACACCGACTTTACACATACTGTTAAGAAAAATTAATGTGTTATCTTGAAACGAGTGTAAAGCTAGAATTAAATTAAAATAAAATTACGTTAATCAATGTGACATTATAGGATGGCAAATATCCCCGTTTATTACACGTACAAATCAAACCGAATATCGATATCGTAGTTCAGTGACCATGCAGTTTATACAATATATGTTACCAATATTTTGATTGTCAGCCGATGACGTTACATTTTCTAACCCCTTGCAAGAATCCAATCCCTGCCAGGGATTGTGTTCCATATATAGGAATGTGTTAAATGACGTCCATGACACATGGCTTGAATAGTGACGAATGGATGTCTCATCGAATAATAACAGAATTGCGAAAACTATATTTATTTATTTAAAGTATCGCACGTGTTACAGCACACTCAACATTATTAAGTTAGAGGTTGTGATAATTAAAATATGCAGACAGTAAGTCTAATTTTGTTGTGACATTCCCGCTTCCCCGTGAAAAAACTATATAACAACACAGTGAAATCGTACGCACAGTAATTGAAACCACCTTCGATCTCGCCCCCTCCCCGTGAACTTAAATATTACGTTTGATGTGTGCATGCTTCATTTATCTGAGGACCCCCTAAGCGGCAGCAATCAGAATGCTTACACAGCGCATTTACTTTAGGCTGACATCAGTATAAAGATCACTCTGAGACGTTGTGATATTATAACCAACGCAAGTACAAATTTCTTCCATATAATTTTGTCTCGAATGAAATAATTATTTGTTTTCACTCACACAATCTCCAGCTTATCCCTAGTTTTAAAACGATTGAAGCTATTATACAACATATATATTTTGTATCAGTACGTTACCTCGCAGTTTGCACTCTCTGACGGCGTTTTTAACAAGGACTTTGAATATAGTCTTCACCTTGAACGGCACGACGTAATCGCCCATTTTCATATTATTTTCCGGTTTCCAAATATCGGAAACTGTGTCTATTGTCACATTATGGTATCCATTGGGCGGATTTGGAAGTGGAACCTTCGTTTCAACCAACTGACCGTCTACGTCTATGGTGTAGTAGGCTGGCTTGTCAGCAGTTTTCCAAATCAAATTCGGCAAACCTTCCATAGGGACATTGAAGTCAAACTCGTTCGGTTCAGTGACTTTCAATCCCGAGGCGTAACTTCCCGAGTTCCACGTCTGATGACTGAATCGTGGATCTTTGTCGTGAACATATTTCAGAATAGGGTCGACCACACTGTGTACGGCATTCACGGCAGCTTTCACCTTTTCCCGGCGCATTTTTATCTGCGTGTCTGTGTAATAATTTAGGTCACCGACCAAACCATTTTGCGTCGCCAACATGTCGATAATCGTTTTGTACGTATTGAGGACGTTGCGTGAAGCCTGGTAGTTGGTTTAATATTGACCCCTTTATATAATGGGGACGATTATATTGTACAAATAAATACTGGAAATCCCCCATCTAGCATGATTAATGCGGCTCAACAGCCAATGAAATATCAATATTGACAATTACATCAGCACGACTGGAAAATACCTGACGCATACATTCAGAGAATCAGTAAGCATGGGAGACGTCACCGTTATCTGCATTTGAATAATTACGGTTTACAACCCACAATAACAATTTGACCTATATAAGGGTTGGAATGGGGTGTCAAAGGGGTATTTCCTCGCAACCTCGTGTGAACTAAATGGGCGTACGCGATGTCATTGATAACACCACTCTTAGATTTCAAAGATGACATTCGTCGTTCATTTGTTCGGGCTCAGTGAGCCAATGATTTTTGCTCTCAATACGATTCACTGCTGTGCAGTTTGTTAATTTATATTGCCGACCTCCCCACTAATAAGATCACACATGTGTTTATACGCCAGTCACGTGTCCGTCACAGTAATGCGCACACTCATCATATTTACGCGTATTTATCACACGGGTTTTCCCCATGACGTGATTTTATACAAGATGGAATTTGACACGCAAAGCTGTTCATATCCAGTGGCCAGGGATTGAACATTAGAAAATCGGGGAGGGGGAAATGACAGAATTGAAAAACAAATACCGGTATATGAACCGTACATATAGTTATCAGTGGCGGCGGCACAATGGGGGCGGGGGGTGCGCAAAAAATGTTGGGGAGCGCCCCCTAAAATAAAGCTGAAACCCTTTGTGTCAGCAAAATTTGCCCATCGAAATGCAGGAAATAGCGTTTCAGAGGGTTCAGACTTCAACATTTTTAAGGGGGAGCATGCCCCCGGACCCATAGGAAGGTCGCACCTTCGGCGCGAAGGAGGGTGAGCGGATCTCGCCCCCCTCCCAATGCAACATTTCGTGCCGCTGCCTCTGGGGCCCCTGGTTATGTTTCGATCGGACGAACTAATGGACACTCGCCTGTTTGTATTATGACACTACTTCCTCGACACACAGTACAGTGCAGTAGTAATTCGAATAGACGAGACGAAGGCTACATTGACCGTGGCGTGCAGGGATGATATTTTGTTTTTAAAAATCAGTGCTCAATTGAAGGGGAAATTGATTCCAAATACAGTCATTACTTAGCGACAACTTAGCAGTGATGTTAATCAGAAAGATTATGAAAGAGAAATTGCCAAACATGTGACAACAATGCATATTTTGTTTTTTACTTCAGTGTAATTCGGCGTGTTACTTTTTTTTTTTTAGATTTTCTTGGACATCAAAGCTAATTTGAAATTGATGTGCATTTACAAGAATATATTCTGAGAACACATTACATTGGTACACCTAATTGGAAAAGTTTGCGTCAGTGAAAAGAAAGTTGTATTATATAGCTTTGTTTATACAAGGTAAAGAATTAGATAGGTATAGTTGATAACTGTGACATTAGAAGCACATCCAGCAATAAATTAATTGTTCTGCTTCTGGTAATTCAGAAAATATGGATCCTCGTAAAGTATAAACATAATTCATAAACGTTTGTTTTCATGATGGTAAATTGACGAAACACTGTTTCGACACCAGTTTCTTGTAAAGCTATATTACAACGCCCGCATGGCGTAAGCCTATTGGGATACAATAGTATAACAGTTTTATAACAAAACTGGTTATTCGTTTGATTTGATTTTTATTTAGTCACGTCTATGAATGATTGAATATGTTATTATTATTATTTCTATTTCCGCATGCTATCATCAATAGGCACATTCACACAGCTAGATGTTCGAGCGAAACCAATACATTATATCTTTGACAAATATTCCAATCTCCCGTACTTTGACGTTTAGAGCCAAACCAAAGATTGAAGCCTCTTAATCAAAAAATAGGGCGGGCTACCACAACCACTGATATGTAGCACCGTCCCTCAACACCATCCATTCGTCACTATTCAAGCCATGTGTCATGGTGTTGAGGGACGGTGTATGTAGTAATTGGAATACAGTTGAATATAGTTTGATACGGCGAGTCTTTCAATTGACCAAACTATATGGGTCACCGCTTGTGTGAGTCTTAAATTGATTACTGATTTTCTGAATCCATGAGAACGATTTAACCTAACTGAGCACATTGATATAGCTGGTGTATTTTGTACTGGCAATAGTTCAGCGTTCATTCTATTTATAGAAAATGGGGATTTCCCTACATCCGGGTCTGACATACGTTATCATCATGGCGGCAGATCTGAATTTTGACACAACAGATTTCAAACAGTATAAGGAAACATGTGTAGTGATTCCAAGACACGACATGAAGACAGCAGCCGACAGGGTGCGGAATGTCTTAGATACTATATGTCCCTACGTTAATGATCGAAATCCCCTTTTTAGTCGTAAACCGGTGGCCATTGGCAGTTATGCTTCTAAATTGAAGGTTGGTGAGCCTAACGAATTCGATTATGACGTGGTATTAGTGGGACTATCGGACAATTTATCATGTAGTGCCTCGGAGTTTAGTAGATTTTACTGCATAACGAAAGATGGCGGCACTAAACGGCTTCAAAGAACGTATGATAGGCAACCCGACCCACCGATGGGATATTATATATTGGCTTTAGAAGAACCAGCCTTGTCTGATATGCATGACCTGACCGCAGACACACATCTAGTGCCGCTACTAGTAAAACAAACTTTCAGAGAATTGGTGACAGATGCCATTGAAATATTCTTTCCGGGTATGTATTCCTGTTTTCAGCGAGTTCGTGTACTAAATAGATTCAATAATCTGGACAAATATCAAGGCCCTTTTTCAAATTAACATATTTTCAACACACACATACTTCATTATTCAATGAATTTTCTGTATTAGCTTAAGGCAGTTGATAAAATGCAAACCACCAATTGTAAACTAACTGGAAACTAACTATATGTTATACTTTTTGAAATATTTTCACAATATCAGGATTCATCTGCATAAATAATATACGATTTCTCATTCTTAATTGTCACCGAGACAAATGTTGAGATATGATATGAAATATTACCGTCTCATAGAAAATAGTGTGAAATGCAAATCTCAAACAATTTATAGGAGCCCCCCCCCATTTTTTGTATCCTGTTGTCATGAACGAATAATAATGAAGGGTTCCTCATATCATCAATCTGGTTGTTGGATTATCGAATTACCGCTCATTCAATTCAGAGAAACCAGTTTTCAATTGAGTTGATCAACACCAGCATCTTCTTTGGTGGCATCTCATGATCAATATACTATGTTGTCAATTTCTGTACTTTTCGTCTTACGGGGAATCGCAGCGTTTGGATATTTTAGTTTGATATCATGTGTGCGATTCCCTTCATCATTTGTCTTAACAACTATCTAATTTGCATATACATTCTTCTTATACATACTACGCGTGCGTTCCATAGTTGAGACGAGATCTTACACGTCATTAATCAATTTCATTCTTGCCTTCATGTTAACCTTACAGTCTATTTTAACCTGTCTCATTTTATTCAGTTTTCCAAATTACCTTGTGATTCTGCTCATTGTTGCTGAAGATCTGACTAAGATATGTTAACTTAGATACATTCTCAATGATATTTTTGTCGATTGTCAACGGTGATGGTACGGAATCGTTCTTAACTTTACTTGTTCTCCACATCTATATTTCACTAATACTCTTACTTTTATTCTAAGAATAGAGACTATCGATCTTTGGTACATTTTGTACTATATATACTTATCAATAGAGAGGTACTTGTTATCATATCCAGCACTTTAATCTCTTGATTAAAGATAATATGCTGCAATCAAATCTACTTAAACTGCGATTAGAGTTTTGTTGTATTTGCGAATCACTGTTTTCAACACCCATGATAATATTGCGTCAGTAGTTGTTCTATTTCACCGGAAACCATACTGCGACTTATGTATATTTGGTTCGTATGCATCCTTCAGATTTTCGCCAGTATACGACTTATATTAGCGCCCATTGTGAACACTCAGTAGTTTTTAGGCTGATTAAAAACTCATTTCTTATGCAGGCATGTTATAATTGCCAACATGTCGGTACGCTTGGGTGGTCACAGATTAGATTACAACATATCAGCCGTACTTGTAATTGTTTTATTTCAAAGGAACAAGGCATGATCTTTAATTCGGTTCGAACATCGATAATAAGTTGTTTTAATTTCATAAACACAAAACTACAACCAAAATGTATAGACCATACATTACGGCTTTCATAAAGTGTTTTTAATTGTACCTAGTATTGAAGGCATGACATTGATATTGGAATTGAACAAATATCAATCTAAAATTAATATATAAACCTTTAAAGCGGGAGCGTCGTCACCTGCGCACGCGCGGGAATTGAGTCCCAAGTGACGATAACAACACGCCCTAAAAACGCAAGGACTCATGGGTAGACGCTTGTCCGTAAACAATCCATCGCTTTAGGGTATATGGATGTGCTATAAATATAATGTATTCTATCGTATCTTTGTGTTGCATGTCGTACGTACTCAATTTGTCTTGAATAACAAATGACGTATCCCTTTACTTTACTATAGAAATAAAGATTAAACAAAAAGATAATGGTCCTGCTATTACAATTATTATACCTGACCCAGATGGGAAAATATATGTCGATTTAGTTACAGTAATACCCAACATTGGAACTGAAATATTGTCTGATGCATGGGACATTTGGCCTAGAACCAATCGTTGGCCTCCAGCAGATAAAGTAAAAAAAGTGAAACAAGTTGGAATTTGTTTCGTTCCTAAGCACGACATACACTGGTGAGATATATAATTTTTTCATTCATTACGGCTGCTTTTTAGTGATAGTTATTTCAGACTGCGTTTTTGGCGAAGCGAGTGTGGCGTGGTATTGGAAGTGCTGCCTACAGTGGCGATGCGATTGCCTCTGTTTCATGTTGTAATATTGGCGATCAACACCACTAGGATCCGCTAAAAAAACAGAAAATAGTTTCATATTTCACAATGCTAATGAAATATTTCGAAAATAAAAAGAAGGCAGAAAAAAGACAAGCCAGTAGGCTGATTGGCGTTCCGTTTTTGCTGTTATAGTTATTATATTCACGCAAGATCTCCCTCAAACTTGGATTTCGATAAGATTACCTACTTTTTATTTCTGACCGTTTTGCGATTGTATTTTCAGATTCTTTGGTTGAATGCAGCATTTACAGTTCATTCAAAGTTCAAAGTTGCGTTGGGATTACGTTGATACAGTGTAACTTCACTGATTTGTTGCTATAGTTTGTGAGCTTAAAGACTTAATAATATGCGATAACAAACCATACCATGTTTCCCAACGCTTCACCATTAACATCAATCAATAGCTTTTATACAAAGGATACTATTTTTCGCACACTTAAAATGCAGATATCTGTGCATGAGTTAAATATTAACTCGATGATGTAATAACATCGCGTTACAAAATATAAATATTAACATATCAAGGATATAATGCCCAAATTAGGATATTATAATTACACTTCAATCTTACACCCCAATCATCTCTATAGGTATGCGTCATTCAGTCGATGTGAAATGGAATTGATCAAATAGATTGACAAAGATGGCGGCTGTCGAAAAGAGTGCCTACGCATATTAAAACAACTACGTGAAGACTATTGGAAGTTTCCTCCAAATAACCCAGCTCTTACGTCATTCCACTTGAAGGTAGTGTATCATTATTTGCAATTCATTACATATGCTTTATCAAGTAATCGCTTTACTGGTTTAATTGTAACACAAATATTTTATTTATATACGTTTAGACTTCACTTGTGCCATAAGATTATGTTTCGCTATAGTCTGACCGCCCCTCGATTTTTTGCACAGCAGTTCACATTCGTTCAATAGTTTTTTATGCGTATTTCCATCTTACCGTGCGACCAAACATATATAGCTTGACCGTTCGATTCAAAGGTACAACATTCAATTACATAATTGAATCGAGATGCATTCTGGGAATGTTGTTTTTTTATTTTAATCTGCATACGACTATGGAACATGTAGCAATGTAAAACATGTTTAACATGTAGAACAACATGACCTTTTATTATGATACGTAAATTTAAAGCTAGTACGTCAAATGCCATCCAATGTGTATTCACGTGGTGGCTTACGCGTCATTTTCTCAGGTATACGTGGATGTATAAATATTAAAAAAAAAACAATATGTTCTTTCCATGAAGTTTCACTACAATTTCATTTTTTTCTGAGCAGACATTGTGGTTGTGGGAATGTGAAAAGTGTCCGTATTTGTTTCAATGGGACCGTGATTTCCTTCCTGGCTGTGTCATGAGTATTGTAACAAGGCTGAAGTACTGCCTCGACAAAGGAAAATGCCCACATTATTTCAATGATAAAATTAATCTCTTCGAGGATATATTGGGAAGACGGCTGAAAAATCCCAATGGTTTGATGGAGACAGCATTCGAAGTTGGTAAATTTTTGAAACACCCAAGATTATTATTGGAAAAAGCCACACGCTCACGATGGTCTTATCCCAGCTCACGTCCCCTGTCGGGAGGTGAACTATCCATTGCTTGGTGAATTCTGCTTCGCAATGATAAGAAGAGTCGACATTGAAGGATCAAAAAACGACGTCGCTGTTGTGATAGAGGGGGTGGATCTCTCTCTCTCTCTTAAACCACGATATTACTTAAATTAAATGTTCTCACAGCTTCCAATAACTAAAATAATACAGAAAAGAAAGTTGTAATACATGTTAAGCAACAAGTTTTATTATATTTAAGATGTATTCCTACTTAATGGTGTCCTTTTTAAAGAAATGGAATATAAAGATTTCTAAAAAATTCCAAAACCCATTTCAGTACTAGCTGCTGTTTAAATACAAAATTCTAGTTGGCGGTTATTACCCTAGATTATTAAACGTACTGTGATCGTGGTTTATGTATGTACAATATTGTATGGCTTATGATTGATTATTTAATAGCAATGTTCGCCGCCCTACACATCGGAAAAATCCACCATTTACGATTTCTTAAACATGTGTTCATTTCCAGTTCACATGCTGAGTACGAGATTTTTGCATTGATTTGTATGGTATTAAACGTTTTGCCACCTGCAATAATGCCTGATGAACGCTTTTCGTTGGGTTATTTTCAAAAGTAGGTGCCGAACCCGACTGCCAATACAGCAAAATTTGAAATAGTTGATCATGCCAGTTGGCCTTTTTAAAGATATTAGTAAGCCATTGCACACCTTAATGCTAGTGAACTATAAGATAACAAAATGTCTTAAAGACTGTGAACCCTTTCGGCAACCGAGGTTGCTCACAACATGGTATTTTATAAAACCATTTTTACAATTCATTTTTATGTTATAATCCTTTTTATTACAAATTTTCGTTTCTGAAATCGATTTTCAAAACTCTCGTTTCTGAGATGTTTTTATTCTAAAAAACAATTGTTTATATCCGTTTTCATTTTAACAACAATTGATTTACACAATTGGTTTTCAGAATGAAAACAGATCTCAGAAAAATCAATTTCAGAATCGAAAAATGTTATTAAAAAAGATTATAAAATAAAAAATGAATTGTAAACAATGTAAATGAATTGTAAAAATGGTTTTATAGAATGCCATGTTGTGAGCCACCTCGGCTGCCGTAGCGCACACATTTGTATGGTTTTCCTTAGGTAATGTGAACAATGAGTGAGCCGTGGTTACATGTAGTTATTTTTGCATCTACGCTACATTATTATACACAGCGAATACAGAGTCATCACATATAATATTAACAACTTGAGTGTCTAAAACTTACCCTAATGAATTATAGCATATTAACCCACCGAACACTGTTATTATGTAAAAATTATATCACGGCAAATTATGTCGCCCTTTTATCTTAATGCCATTATAATTTATGTATAACTCTTATTCTGCTATAACCTCTTTGAATCACGTGCCCAGTCGTTGTTTTTAAAAGTATTGAGAAGTTTACTTGTATACCAAATCCCACATTTTGGAACAATTATTGCCAAATCTACAAAACCACGATAACTAAATGCAGCAATCACAAATTACGTTGCTATATATTTACGTTTACGTTTTCGATAAAATCCACATACAGAGTAGAGACTGCTGATATAATGTTTCGCATATGGAGAAAAAAAGGTAATACTAAAACATTGCCTTAACCTAACTATTAAATATATTTAACCAGGATAATTCATTCATTTCCCCCTCACTATGATTTCTAATGGAGTCCTGCATGAAATATACATGAAATATATACATTAACAAATTAAATTAAAAAGATTAAAATTAATAAAATAATTACATACAATAAAATACAAACATACTACTTTTTAAAATATTTTCTTACAGCAGTTTTAAAATTACAAATATCACCTAGTAATTGTATTTCAATAGGCAAACTATTCCATAATGAGATGCCTCTATAAAAAAATGTATTTTTTTCTTTTTCTAATCGGGCAAACGTAACATCAAATTATTATCAGCCACAGCTCTAGTAAAGCGAATGAGTTGTTTACGAATATATGATTCGTGGGAATTTTGATGACAAATACAATGGTACAATATTATGCATGCATTTAAACATCATTATAGCTGACTGCATTTCCCATTGTTGGTTAATGGGGTGCCAGTTTAGTATCGACAGTGTTTCAGATGTCGATGTAAACTTTCCCCTACCAAGGACTAACTTGGCAGCTCTGTTATGTAAACGTTGGATTTGAGTTTGCATCTTACTACCACAGGTCATCCATACTACATCACAGTATGTGATGAGGGGAAATACTAGTGCCTTATCCATTAACTCGTATGATTTTTTTATCAAGAAATTTACGAATTCTGCAAATGGCTCCAAGTCGTCTTGAAACAGGAATAGATTGTTTACTTATTGTATTTACTAGTGGCGATTTTGCAAGGCTTTAACCGTGAGACATATCCCACGTGATCATGCCAACGACTGCAGTGATTGGCTGGTCGCATGTTTACTCTGCCACGCCATAGAGATTTATCATGATAGAGTTTGTAAGATTTTGTAACCAGAAGAAGGAAGTGGGCAGCGAGGGGTTACCTCAGCTGACCGTTTGGGTGAATAAAGCTGGACTATCTGTACTGAACAATTGTGTATTCCTTTGGGTCGAATCGGATATCTCTACAGGTAAGTGTTATCAACTGAGCGAGTCACAGTTCCTGAACACGACGCTAGTGTTCACAACACGTATAACATACATTTTTTTTTTTGCAAAAAACGATTAAAGTTGTTTTTGTTGCTACGACTGCACTGTGCAGTAAATTTCGTAGTGTAACTTCCATATTTCCCAGTGCAGGGATTATTTTGTTATTTATAATAATGTTATATATTTAAAATCCAACTGCTTCTGCCGCCAGCACTGTTTGACGATTTGAATTAGTTGCCGTCTTTCCATTGACCAATAAAATAACATGGTCTCCCGTAAAACTCTTGAACTTTGTCCGCAATCAATAACAAGTTTTCGGGTTCTTTCAGTTTGCTGTTCTCTTTATTCCGAAAAAGATTGATACTTGGAATGAAGTAATGCGGGCAATTCTGTTCACGGAGGCATTTCAACAGACTTCCAACCAATCCAAGGAAACGTTGTCCTAGCATCCCACGTGACCAGTCGTGGCTGTTTGGATATTTCTCACACTCCCAAAAAAACAAATTTCAACAAAATTCTGAAACAAATGTTATTTGATATAGTTATTGTAACAAAACACATCGACACTGAAAGCAAGTGAAAACGATTACTAACACCAATGACCAATTGTTGAGTAATTGCAGGTGTCTATGGCGACCACCAACACATTGTTCGTTTGATTGACAGGGGGCGCGTGCCACATATTTTTTGATTCACTACGCGGTGTGCAAAATAGACCGTAGTATGAGTTAATTCACCAATTTTGTTACCAGTTCGTTACAGCATAAAAGTATTTGAACCTTAGAATTAGGAATGAATATCAAGTACCTAGTTAACTAATGTTAAAGTGGACATCGACGAGGTCACAGTCATGCACATGTATCTTGACATTCAAGTTTCCAACCTACTAGTACATGCATGTTAATTTACCTTCAAATGGTAGGATGATAGTGCTGGTGATTGCCAGTGGTCTTCACGAATTTTCTTCAGTAAACGTAAACACTGTTTACGACACCCCTCATCGCTGTCAATGCCTTCAAGCAGAGCTATTTCACATTGCATGAATGATGTAAGCCTGATGGAATACAGAAATATAGTCTTATCACAAGTGGTGGGTAAGGTATTAAAAAGTAAATAAATTTGAGGTTTTTAACTAAAAGGTTAATTTTTTCATGTCGATTTTCTTACATGTTGTATTAACGCATCAGAACAGAATACACATTACAAATCTGAGAAAAACATAACAGAATAGTCACATTGTCATAAATATGTAGAGCTAAACTCACCAATACAAATTGTCTTTGGCAACAGAGCCTGCCCCAATCTTCCTAACTTCTTCAACTTTGTGCTTTGGCGGCCAGAGCCGCGAACGAGGCCAGTTATTGAGAACTTTCGGTGGGAGCCCACACCCATTGGCAGGAACTAATGGCACAAGATCTACCGATATCCTCTCCTCGCCGAATGGCACCATCAATGTTATGGCTGGACCATGCGTTCTGTTCAACACTCGGACTGACCCTAGTAATAAAAATACACACCTGTTAACAATAAATATATTGAAAGTCGAAAGGATGTAAGGCGAGAAACAAATTATACACAAGTTGCAGAGTGGTGAATATGATATCCCTGTTTCTTCCATGTATTGTAGGTGTATTTCGAACCTTTTTATATATCGAAATCGTGATTGTATGATTATGCATTCTCTACAACATATGTTACCCACAGCTTGATTGGCAGCCGAGGACGTTACATTATCCAACCTATAATCCGATCTCTACCTGGCATTTTATTACACTATATTACACTATATGAATATACTACCCATAATAACGATTGGAGGCCCCGTGTAATATGGTCGAATATATCAGTAGAATCACGTATTGTTCGTTTTACAGTACACTCAGCAATATGAAGTTAGAGGTTATGATAATTAAAATATACGCACTGCAAACGTGACCTCAGCGCTAAACATGCCCTCCCCCCTAAAAAAGCGAGTCCAGTACGAAACAAATGTGAAAACTACATACACAACACAGTGTGTTTTTCGGCACAGTAATATAAATCACTTTCGACCCCCCCCCCCTAAAGGAAGAGGTTCATGATTCACTGTTCATTGCCGTGCCCATGTCCCAAATATCTACGGCCCCTTAATTGGCAGCAATAACTTAGCGTACAATTCGTCGACCACGTTAACTGAAAATAGCTAAATATACTGATATCCCTTGTCTATTAATTTTTCTTCATGTTATTCAAACAACTGATATAGCTCCGGTGATGTATGTAAATTGTCGCCTTACAAAATTACGTTAAAAAATAATATATTAACCCAGACTAAAATATTACCAATACATTCGATGTAACCTTATCTGAGGGATTGATTGATTGATTGATTGTTATATTGGATTTAAAATGTTCATACTTATTTTAAATTATCATCGTTCAAGTTTAACTTGTAATTATCTCAATCTAGATGATATTGTAACCATTGTGACATTATTATTGTCCTCGCACAATCTCCCGTCCACCCCCTAATTTTCAAATGGGATATCCCTTACACAACTGAACTGTGATGGCACTCGTTACCTCGCAGTTTGCACTCTCTGATGGCGTTTGTGACCAGCCCTTTGAATATAGTCTTCGCCTTAAACGGTACGAGGAAATCCGCCATCTTCATATCATTATACTCTTTGCAAATATTTGATAATCTCACATTATGGTATCCATTGGGTGGAGTTGGAAGCGGAACCGTGGTTTCAACCAACTGACCGCGTACGTCTATGGTGTAGTAGGCTGGCTTGTCAGGAGTTGTCCAAATAAAATTCGGTAAACCTTCCATTGGAACAATGAAGTCAAACTCGTTCGGTTCAGTGACTTTCAACCCCGAGGCGTAGCTTCCCGAGTTCCACGTTTGATGACTGAATCGTGGATCTTCGTCGTGAACATATTTCAAAATAGGGTCGACCACACTGTGTACGGCATTCACGGCAGCTTTCACCTTTTCCCGGCGCATTTTTATCTGCGTGTCTGTGTAATAATTTAGGTCACCGACCAAACCATTTTGTGTCGCCGACATGTCGAAAATCGTCTGATATTAGTTGTCGTTGGAACGTTGGTTTAATACTGGGTACTTCATATAATGAAGATTGTTATCTGACGCACTTTCCAATGATTGTGCAACAATTTCATAATGGAAATTCCCCATTTAATGGAAATCCCCTATTTCACATATTTCACGCGGTTCAACAACCAATGAAATCAATGGACACATACTTATGCGCGGCAGGAATTTACCTGACGCAAATATTCTCAGAACCATTGACCTTGAGAAACGTTATAGGTCACGACCCGTAACTATTTGTACTATGGGGATGAGTGTGTCATTCGGTAACTCCGGGGTATTTTCTCCATTTCTAAAAATCAAAGACTTCGACCAAGGCTGAGACGCAATGCTTATATTTTTAAATAGAACTAGTAGTGCAAACTGAGTTTTCAATCAAGTTTATTTCTGATTTTCGCCTGTACGGTTTGTCTTCTACAGATTCTGAATCATGATACCTACCTCCTGGTATTTACACAGTTACGCCAGCCATGAGTCCATTTGTATTTCGCACTCATATCATACTGTATTTATAGAATATTTGTCACGTGGGTTTTACCCATTATATATTTTTCCCTTCATCGAGTGTTTTTTTTTTTTTTTTTTTGCGATGTTCTCACCATAGCTACAGACAGCATTCATGACATTTACAGGCAGCAAAAGCACTTGCCAGGGATTTAGTTCCGGGAGGAGGCATTATCATAGCTAAAGTATACGGATAAGGGCCGTTGTTTTGACCCCAATTTTATTTGACAAATACGTCAGTGTTACTGGAATATTCGATGTGGAGATTCTGAGTGACTGTGAGTGGTGGTATAGGTTACGAAGGACCAGGGTTATCTCTTACTGAGTACGTTGCTTGGCGCGGTGATTCTGATAATCAGTGACGGCGTGTATGTATGTATACATTTCAGTGGCGGATCCAGGGGGCAGGGGGGCCATGCCCCCCACAAAAAAAACCGCACGACGATTCGTATCTTCTGCATTACGCATAGCTTCTCTGCCATTTACGGTCCGTATATCTTAAGCGTAGCTTGGACCCCCCCCTCCCCCCAATACATTTTGCTGGATCCGCCACTGATACATTTAAGGGCTACGTTAAATATTTGAACTAAGGGGTGGGCCAGTAGAAAGGCTATTGGGACGGTTGAACCGACAAAAAAACTATTTTATTTTCTCTTGGATACTTTTTTCCGAAAAGATTTCTCGTTCTGGTCTACGCCCGTGTAATTATTCTTGACCGAGTTTACAAAGTTCGTAAACAACACGCCCGTGCTTTCAGACATGCGTCATGGATCTTTCAGTGTATTGCACACATTCATCATATGTATTAATAGAATATTTGTCACGTGGGGTAGTAGCCACCGCCTGTTTAGTCTTGCGACATATTCATCATGGCGGTAGGTTTGAATTCTCGTCGCTTCATAGATGTGACAATTCTCAATAGGTATATGGAGGAGCAGGTGGTAATCCCAAGAAACGAGACATAGATAACATATTGGGGTACGTTCACGATCGAGATCCACGATTCAGTCACCAGCCATGGACATCCGGAAGTTACGCTGCTAGGTCGAAGGTTAGCGAATCCAACGAGTTTGATTATGACGTGCCATTGGTGGGAATACCGAATCTAATATGGAAACAATGCATCCCAAGATATTATTCCGTAATTACAGATTCGAAAGGCAACAAACAGATTATAAGAACATCCAATCCACAGCCCGGTCCACCAGCGGGATATCATCAAATTTCTTTTAATGACCAATGATATGCGTGACATGACTGTCGGCACACACCTGGTTCCACTATTAGTCAAGCAAACTTTCAAGAAACTAGTGGCCGAGGCTATTTCGCATTTTAACTGGCAAGGTGCGTACGAATACGTGTACTTTATCTAATGATCTCATATACAAATACAATTGTCAGTTCAATAGAACGAAAGTACAAGAATATGTAGTGCCGTTTGTGCATTTATTGATATAAGCGAATTATATGTAATAATTACACGACTCTTCATTATTGTTAATATATAATAAAATATAGCCCATTACCAATTTATATACAATTTTGCTTCCAATATATTCTTTATATAAAATTGTCATGTTGTAATAAAATTTATATATAGTATATTGGAAGCAAAATTGTATATAATTAAGTAATGCATTCCCTTTTATTATATACAACTCAATTTATGGTTACTTAATTATATGTTATACTAATATATTGTAATAGCATTTTATTAAGGTAGCGGGACTATTATTTGCATACTTGTGTTCATCTTCTAATTGTGACTAAATGACTACAAATAGACCCAGGAAAGTATATATTTTTAGAATCGCCAGACTTCAAGCTTTTCAAAGAT